GAGAGAGAGAGAGAGAGAGAGAGAGAGAGAGAGAGAGAGAGAGAGAGAAACAACCTCAGGCATCAGTCATAGCATTCACTTGGTTGAGTCAGGGTCTCTTAATCACCACTGTGTACCTCAGGCTTAACTTAACTGGCCCCAAGCCTTCAGAGATTCTTCTGTCTCTGTCTCCCATCTTTCATTTTACTTTATGTGGGTACTGGAAGTTTGAACTCAGATTCTTATGCTTGAGAAGTCAGTACTTTACCCACAGAACCATTTCCCCAGGCCTAAAAATATTTTTGAAAGACTTTTATATGTTTGTGTGTGAGAGTGTGTGCACACATGGTGCATTCCTGTGTGTGTAAAATTAGCGTTAGAGAATTTGAATACAGTGCCTAGGGATGCCAGAAGAGGGCGTCAGATCCCCGGAGCTGGAGTCACAAGCAGATGTAAGCAGCCAGACATGAGTGAGGAAAACAAACTCAGGTCCTTTGGAAAGGTAGCAAACATTTCTTACCTGCTGAGCCATCTTTCCAGCCTCCTAAAAAATATTTTAAACTCCAGTAGCCATTGCTAGATTTTGTATTTCTTCAGTGCTATGGATTGTAATTGTAAACCTATCTTTTAGGAAAACACTCAAAAACAGCATGAAGTAAGAGACAGAGGCATTAAAAACATGCCCCAGTTTTTAAAAGAAAAGCTCAATAGTGAAATCCTTGCAAAGAAAAGAGAATCAAATGGGAGCAACAATGTACAAGAAACAGAAGATGACGATGAAGAGGAGGAGGATGAAGAAGATGAAGAGGATAATGAAGATGATGATGAAGAGGAAGAAGAGGAAGAGGATGAAAATGATGAACAAGCCAACAGAGAAAAAAATGAAGCAAAGGAACAAGTCTACAACAATATGGGCACCAGGCAGCAGCCTGTTACTAAAACACCTGAAGAGCAAAACGACACACAAGAGACCAAAGAAAAAAGTGAGAAGAAAATAGCCAAATTAGACCCTAAGAAGTTAGCTCTAGATACCAGTTTTCTGAAGGTAAGTGCAAGGCCTTCAGGGAACCAGACAGACCTGGACGGAAGCTTGAGACGCGTGAGACAGAACGACCCTGACATGAAGGAACTCAACCTGAACAACATTGAAAATATCCCTAAAGAAATGTTACTGGACTTTGTCAATGCAATGAAGAAAAACAAACATATCAAAAGCTTCAGTTTAGCCAATGTCGGTGCAGATGAGAGTGTAGCATTTGCCTTGGCCAACATGCTGCGTGAAAACAGGAGTATCACCACCCTCAATATCGAGTCCAACTTCATCACCGGGAAGGGCATCGTGGCCATCATGAGGTGCCTCCAGTTCAATGAAACTCTGACTGAACTTCGATTTCACAACCAGAGGCATATGCTGGGCCACCACGCCGAAATGGAAATATCAAGGCTTCTGAAGGCCAACAACACTCTGTTGAAGATGGGCTACCATTTCGAGCTTCCGGGTCCCAGAATGGTGGTAACGAATCTGCTTACCAGGAACCAAGATAAACGGAGACAGAAAAGACAGGAGGAACAGCAGCAGCAGCAACTTAAAGAGCAGAGAAAGCTGATAGCTATGTTGGAGAATGGGTTGGGGCTGCCTCCTGGGATGTGGGAGAGGTTGGGAGGACCCATGCCGGATCCCAGAATGCAGGAGTTCTTCCAGCCTTCATCTGGGCGGCCCCTTGATGCTCAGGAAGTCCCCTTTGGTGCAAGAAAGGAAATGATCAAAAATCCGCCCCAACCTCCACAGTGCAAGACAGAACCCGACTCCTTCAGGGTGGTGAAGCTGAAGAGAATTCAGCGCAAATCTCGAATGCCGGAAGCCAGAGAGGCACAGGAGAAAACCAACCTCAAAGATGTAATCAAAACGCTCAAGCCAGTGCCGAGAAATAGGCCGCCCCCGCTGGTGGAAATTACTCCCAGAGACCAGCTCTTGAATGACATCCGACATAGCAATGTTGCCTACCTTAAACCTGTAAGTAACAGGAGGGAGAAATGAAAACTTCCCAGTTCCCCTTCCCCCTCTCTCTTGTCTATGTTATATTTTATTTTTTTAATATTTATTTATTTATTTTGTTGATGAGTACACTGTAGCTGTCTTCAGACACACCAGAAGAGGGCATCCAATCTCATTAAGGATGGTTGTGAGCCACCATGTGGTTGCTGGGATTTGAATTCAGGACCTCTGGAAGAGCAGTCAGTGCTCTTAACGGCTGAGCCATCTCTCCAGCCCTGTTATATTTTATTTTTGAGACAGGTTCTCACGTATTTCAGGCTGACCTCAAACCTGCTAGGTAGCTGAGGATGCCTGGTTTATGTGGGGACTGAGCCCAAGACTTTGTGCATGCTAGGCAAGGCCACTACCAAATGAGCTATATCCACTGCCCCAATCCCATTAGATTAACCCCGTGGGGTCTTGATTGTTGGAAGCAGAGGTGTAACACCAGTACAGTTAAATTACTAGTTACTTTTAAAGACAGATCCATATATGCCTGTGACAGTAGTACTTGGAGCTAAGTTCTGTTGAGTACATGGATAAGCTAACTGAGCTGGCTCACATGATCATCAGAATTCTAGAAGGTTGGCACAGTTATTCTCGCCATTTTGTGAAGGAAAGACAGATGCTTTGGGAAGTTAATAGCATGTCTAGCAGACACCACTAAGAAGTGGTAGCACTGATGTTAAAACTCAGTTTTGAGATGACAAGCTTTGACTTAGCACGCTATTTTGAATCCCTGATGTGCATATGTAAAACCAGACCATTCCTTGCACATAGAGCTGAGAATTAGAGCCCCCCCCCAGAACCTCCTTGAAGGAGCAAATGAGGGGGAAAAATTAATCACATTTGTACGCATCTGGAATAAAGGCTCCAGGGACTGGGTTCTTCATCAGCAGACAATGCTAGATCACCTGCAAATGCATTTCTGTTCGCCTTCTAGGCAGCCACCCAAATGGCAAACCTCAGGTTACTATCTTAATGAGCCAATGGGGTTTAAAAAAATCTATTATTTCTGTTTTAATATTCATGATGTCCCTATAAAAGTCTGTAATAAAGCCGGCTTTACTACCTCAGCTTAGGTTGCAGAAAAGATTTTTTGTGGTCATTATTATAGTAATAGTTATACAGGCTGAAGGATTGATATGCATAGGCCATGTTGATTGATACTTGACTGCCATTAAATATATATTATGTTATATGATATGCATTACATAATATAATATATTCTATTAAATATAAAATATATAATTATACAAATATATAAATATATATTAAATAGATATATAATTATATATAATTGAGCTAAGATTTCATTGACAACACAGTCAATATATCATTTCATCATAGACATTCCCATCTTTTCGGGTTATGGGGAACAAATACCCATATGAATCTGTGATTTTTTTTTCCAGCTTTCCTGAGCTATCTAATCTTAAGATAACTGCTGTTATTCACGTATGTGTGTAGGATGTCTTGAATTCCCATCTCATAGAAATGTATTGTCATTGTCCCATTTCCTGCATCAGAGATATTTTTCATCTATGATTTGGAGAGAGCTGGATTGGTCCTAAGACAGGTGTCACTGTAGAATGCTAGAAGTCACATGAGGTCAGACAAAGGTCCTCTGCCTGCCTTTGGACAGGACCAAGCCAGACCTCTGCTGGAGTAGGTAAGGGTGCTATCTGTAAAAACTCACTTTCAAGTCATGGGTGGACAATAGTCACGCCATCTTGGTGCTATATAGTCAGAAAATAATATACTAAAAGCAACGGGAGTTTTTAAAATCCATGTTAAAGGGAGAGGAGCTCAAGTGACCGTCTAAGCAAACTTCCTGACTCTGGAAGGCATGACCATTGAAGCTACAGGCAATACACCACCACACCCAGCATTGTCTGTGGGCCCTGGGGATCTGAACTCAGGTTCTCATACTTGTACAGTCAGCACCTTTCTCTCTGAGCCAGCCCCCAAGTGCCATTCTTTAAAATAACAACAATAAGCTAAAAAGGAAAAGCCGTTTAGAATGGGAACCTTGCTTACTGATATGTGCTTTGAAATGGCTTTGCACCTTCTGGTTGCTGACAGCTCCTCTTGCCTTCAGTTGCCGGGCATAGGCTGCAACGTCTGTCTGTTTGCTTGTATCTATCTCGGCTATGCCCCATGACTTCTACTGTTCTGCCTCATAAAGTACTCGATGAGGACAGTGTGAAAACACATCACTCAATTGCTGGACCAGCCTCACTAACGTCCAATTGTTCCACCTCACTGTGTCTTCTTCCCTTACGACAAATGTCTTTTTTAAAGCCAGACCAGAGAGCAATCTTTTCAAAGTGTTTCAAATTTTTTAGCTTGCCTTTTGAAGTAATATTAGATTGACAGACTGTCAGAACCAGCACAGGCTTCTCACCTCCGCCCGTCACCTTCTCCCCATTTGCTGTCATTATTTAAAATGCAATGCCCAGGAGTGAGCCCGAGGGGCGTGGCTCATTGGAGGTAATGGTAGTATGCGCTTACCTGTGGCCAGCTGCTGTAAACACCTTCAGCTGCAAGGTGCTTCCTCATACCAGAGGAACTGAAGCTTCACGAAGCTCCATCTCAGACTCAGCGAACTGCCATAAACACTAGCAATGGCGCTGTCATGTCTGCAGCACAAAGGGATGGCTTTGGTCAGTCAAATGAGACCTAGCCAGGTTTACTTTATAGAGGAAGAATGGAAAGTATTGTGGATTTGAACTACAGGTGCAAAAATGAGGTAAAAATTAATGTACAATTTTGATATCTTGAGAGTGTGTGTGTGTGTGTGTGTGTGTGTGCTTGTTTAAGCCCTGTCCTGGTTGGGTTTTTTTGTCCACTTGACACAAGCTAGAGTCATTTGAGAAGAGGGAACCTCAAATGAGAAAATGCACCCCCATGAGACTGACCTGTGGGCAAGTCTCTGTGCCATTATCTTGATTAATGATTAGATTAGTGGGGAGGACAGAGTCCACTGTGGGCGGCACCATCCCTGAGCAGGTGGTTCTGGGTTGTATAAAAAAGCAGACTAAATAAACTGTGGGGAGCAAGCCAATAAAGTACCCCTCCTCAACGGCATCCACCCCAGCTCCCGCCCTGGTTTCTCTCAGTGAAGCAGTCATAAGTTGTAAAGTAAAATAAACTCTTTCCTCCTCAAGCAGCTTTGGGTCATGATATTTATCATAGCAATAGAAACTTAACGACAACAACTCCTAAAATTAGAATATTGACTATTCAAAACACCTGTCAATCATTTGACCTTGGAAAACTTTATTTTTTTTTTTTTTTGGTTTGGTTTTTTCGAGACAGGGTTTCTCTGTGTAGCCCTGGCTGTCCTGGAACTCACTCTGTAGACCAGGCTAGCCTCGAACTCTCGAACTCAGAGATCCGCCTGCCTCTGCCTCCCAAGTGCTGGGATTAAAGGCGTGCGCCACCACCGCCCGGCCTTGGAAAACTTTAAAACACACTTATTTCCCTCTCAGACTTAGAAATGTTATTTTTATATGTTATTGAGAATATCCCAATAATCAGTTTGTAATTTTTTATTTTTTTTATTTTTTAGTTTATTGTTTAGTCTCTTCAGTACCACATGCTCCTGGCCTGGGATCCCTGAATGGGAATCAACAGCAAATAAATAAATATAAATAAATAAAGGAAAACCTATACACTTTCCTCAAATGCTACATACTACAGGAAACAGCCCATTCAGTTCAGTTTGAGAGAAATAGCCTCTCTGGGTCACATGTTGAAAACTGGTAGCTACAAACCAGACTTCTTTGGGCCTACTTTAATTGGGCAAGGTATTATTTTGTAAGTTCTAGACATCCCAGAAAACCTGCCAATATTTGGCACCACTGAAAATTTAAACTCAGCCATGCAAAATTTACATGTGCATGGCATAGCATAAGTGATGTGTGTGTGTGTGTGTGTGTGTGTGTGTGTGTGTGTGTTTACTGGGAATTGAACTCAGAGCTTTCTTTGCAAATGCTAGGCAAATGTTCTCCTGCCAGTTTCTTCTGCATCGTGGCCTCCCTGTGGGCTGGGTAATGGCCTCTCCAGTTTTTCTCATGCCGAATGACCGCCAATCATCTTGCTTCGTTCACATTTATTGTTTCCTGAAGAATTCTTTAGTTTGCTCTTGTTTTTAATGTCTTGTCCAAGAAAGTGCAAGTTAATAGTTGTCAATAACTCTGTTGCCAACACATAGCAAGGTTTCCCCTCCCCCACAAACACACATTTTCTTTAATCTATCTTTAAAATGTTTATGATTCATTTACTATCTACCACTACAGAGAAACCTTTGTACTTTTCACTGAGATTCCCATTCTCAGCAACTATTTAATTCTCTGGAGCTAAGTACACGTGGATCAAAGCCAAGTTCTTGTGCCATCAAGGAGACTATAGCATGCACTCCACTCCACGTTGGGCTCACCCGCACCAGTAGACTGCCCCCAACCAAGTCAGCAATGGAACAGCATCACCAAACTTTCTCTCCGGAAAGACTTGAGTTTGATAGCATCACGTGTAGCCCTGGCTCACCAGAGCTCCTGTGGCACACCAGCAGTTTCAGAGTTTAAGATGATGGATCTGAGCACTCATTTCTGTCCCTGCCCACACTTGACTTTGTTTATAAGATTCTTTCTTTTTCTCCAGGTTTTTTAGTTTCTATCCTTTTTGAGCCTCTTCACCACCTTCTCTTCTTGTGTGGGTAGAACTTAATCAAGGCCAGTCCTCCAACTTTTGTCCCCTTTGGAAATCCAGGGTTCTTCAAGAGTCTTCCTTCAGCCTGTTCTCGGACCAGGCTCCTCTGTGTAGGCCACATTGCTTCTCATCTCAGTGGCCTTTGTGGAGTCCACTCTCTTACACATTCTTCTTTAAAAGTCTTGGACTTATCCCCAAAGACTTTTTACTTACTTGAAAAATAAATAGTACCAAAAGGATAGACAAGAGTCAACACCTTCTCCTAATAGTCATAGGGAAGGGGTTTCTTACATGCAATTTTTTCTAAAATCTATTATCAGAATCTCATTTACATGTCTGGGTTCTTCCCTAGAATTTCTGGTTCAGTAGGTCTTAGATGGAGAATTTCCCCTTCTGACCAACTTCCTAGTGATATTGAAGCAGCTTATCTGAGGGACCATAATTTGGTGATAACAACTTTACAGCATCCTTGGAGCATGATAGCCTCTTTTCTTCTACCCATTGATATCAGGTTCCAAGTGTTATTTCAAATGCTACTTCCTAGACACAAAATCAAGCCAGTAAATCAAAACTCTTGAAGTTTATAATTAATCAGTCAGACTTATATATCAATAAATTCTCAATTATCAAGATGTCCACACAATAATTTTTTTCTTTTTTTATTGGAGGTTTTATTTATTTACAATACAGATGTAATCCCCTTTCCCCATTTCCCCTCACTAGAACCCCCTAGCCAATCCCCCCTCCTCCTTTATGCTTTTAGACCATTTTAATTACATGAATGTATTAAGGTCAGTTCTAGGTTGAGGGTCTAGCAATACAATAGATGCATATAGTCAAGGAACAAGCAATACAATAAACACAAATAGTCAAAGAAAAAGCAAGGCATTAAACCCAATTACGTGAACATTCCCATGATCACTGTTTCTAAGGGCTTATCAGGATGACCAAAGTATCTGAGCCTACTTCCCTGTCCTAGCCCAAGGTCATTTTCATGTCTGAAGCCTATTTCCTTGTTCTAGCCTAAAATTTAGATACCTGTCTGAGATTACTTCTTTGTTCTAGCCTAAGATTTAGGTTCCTGCCTGAAATTACTTCTTTGTTCTAGCCTAATGTCAGATTCCTGCCTGAAGCCTACTTCCTTGTCCTTGGCCAATGTCATATTCCTGCCAAGTAGCCCATTTCCTTGTCTTTGGCCCATGTCAGATTCTTGCCAAGCAGCAGCCCCAAAGGCTCTCCACCTCTCCCTCTTTTTTATTTCATTAACAAGACTGAGCCTGTCTTAGGTGGTTCTGACAAGAATGGCTTCCTTACCCATCATGGAATATGTATTATCCAAAGCAATGCACTTATGTCTTAGGTTGGTAAGGCTCTGCCACACAATAATTTTAGAGCCAATTGATAATGATATTGTCTACCGAGATAAGACAAATTGTCCTATAATTACCCATCCCTTACACGATAATTATAGCTACCTGTAGCTATTTAAAACCATGCAGAATCTGGATCATCTTCTTCCTCCATTTTCCTTCTTCCTTCTGTCCTCTCTCTGCCCCTGTCTCTGAAACTCTTAGCTCCGCCTCTTTTTTCCCTGTTCAATCACAGGCTTCTTGTTGCATTGATATTTAAATTAATTGGGGGAAAATTCTGCTACAGTCCACAGCCAGATTCAAGATAATATCTTAAATAACCACCACTAAAATACATCTTACAATCCTGCCATATCTCCTTGTGTGTGTGTGTATGTATGTGTGTGTACTCTATGTAAGGATCCATGTGCTCATACATCCCAAATACACTTAATAATTACTAACCTAATGAGTTAAACAGAAAGGAACCCCTACTAATAATAGGAATTGATTTTCTCCTGTGTGTGATTTTAATATTTTAACCTTTAATTAAAATTTGTTGCTATTGTTGTTTTAAGTAGCAAGGCTGGTCTTGAACTGCTATTTCTCCTCTCTCCACCTCTGCAGTCCTGAGGGTACAGGTATGTACCACTACACCCAGCTCAAGTTTGATTTTTTTGTAGCATCAAATGTAGTCATCGTTTCCTTGGTTTTGGCTTGCTATGCTGAGAAATGGTATCTCTAAAGACTAAGGATGTCTTCTCTTTCCTGGCAACTTTATTTAGAAGGCTCAGGCTTTTCACAGAATGTTTGGTGCTATGGATGAAACAGAAGGTTAAACTTTAGCCAATGCTACATTTTGCTTTTACAATTTTTTTTAGATTTATTTATTTTTATTTTATGTGCATGCATGTTTTACCTACATGCTTCTCTGTTCCCCACACATGTACCTGTTACCTGCAGAGGTCAGAAGAGGGCATCAGATCCCCTGGAACTGGAGTTACTGATGGCTGTGAGCTACCATATGGGTGCTGGGAACCAAACTGGGCCTTCTCCTCAAACAACATGTACTCTTAATTGCTGATACATCTCTATAGCCCCTACACTTTGCTTTTTAAAAATATTATTTATTTAACCTCCACATACATGTTTAAACACATGCAAAGATCATACTATTTTAGCTATTTGTTGGAGCTTTACAAATTATTTAAAGCATTCCATATTTTTAAGAATCCCATTGCTCTTAATTATTAGTGGTTTTCATGGGTAAACCCTACCCAGACACAGCCACCCCTGTTCTCTTGAAGTCTGACACCAGAAATGCAGAGGATTAGAGGCATATGGGGACTTCCCTTGGCCTGAAGAGGATATCGAATGTCCCCTCTGGAGGGCAGGGCACTGTGAAACATTCCTCTCCAGAGAACATGGACAAAGAACTGACTGCAAGCAGATCCCACAAGGGCATCACTCTGACAGGTGCACAGGGGCAGGGAACAGGAAAATATGCTCAGCTGTTAACAAACTCCAAGCATCTTAGCTCTGTCAGCATCTTCTGAAAAATGCACACATGATGGACGAGTCACCTCCTAAGACAGAGCACCACTTAAACTCCTTTAAGAACTGGCTAGACTTGAAGCTGTTGCTATACAACAGAAGCTGAATGTAGATTTTAGAGTTGGACAGATGTGACTCTTCTGTAGTTATTTTGTCCTCATGAAGTTTCTCTATAGTTTACTTTTTGAAAAATATACTCTATTTTTAAATGTTACTGAAATATTAGAAATGTGCTTCAAGAAGAATAGACTCTCTCTCTCTCTCTCTCTCTCTCTCTCTCTCTCTCTGTGTGTGTGTGTGTGTGTGTGTGTGTGTGTGTGTGTGTGTGTGTGTAAGCACATTTTCATGTCAGAGGCCAATCTCGAGCATTATTCCTTGGGAGCTATTTGCCTTGTTTTATGAAACACGGCCTCTCACTGGCCTGTTAAGCTTGGTAAGCAGGCATGGGAGACTGGCCAGTGAGCCTCCTGGGTCACTGTGTCTATCTCACAAATGCTGAGACTGTGAGCAGGTGCCATCTCTCCTGACTTTTTAAATGTTGTCTGGGGAGATCTAACTCATTTGCCACTCAAGTACTTTACTAACAAAGCTGTCTCTCAGCCCCTAGAACAAATATAAATTTTAATTATATGTACATGCTTATGTGTGGCTATATGCGTATGAGTGTAGGTGTCTGGAGAGGCCAGAAGACGGTTTCAGATCCTCAGGTAGAGCTGGAGTTTCAGGTAATTGTGAACTGCCTTAAATGCGTGCTGGGAAATGAATTCTGGACGTCTGTAAAAGCTGTTTTTAACAGCTGAGCTGTCTTTCCAGCAATTCTAGCCTTGTGACCTCAGGGAAGTCATGTCTGCTCAGAGAACCCCCTTCCTCCTCCAAAGGCTGGTATAGCACAAACACAATGAAAGAATTGTGTTGTTTTTTTTTTGTTTGTTTGTTTAAAGTAATTGTCCTCAATTATCTCTCACTCCCATTATATAACCTGATCTTTTACACTATGGACTGGAAACTCTTACTGTCATTTTAGAGAGGAGGAAAGTGATACTTAGCACCCACCAAGCAGCTAGTAAACTCTTGGCACCAGGCTTTGAGCTTCTCTTGTTTCTGTGATGTTTCCCTACAAGCTCATGGACCTTCGAACAAGCCCTGGGTTGGTAAATGACAACAGTGCCTTTGGTTCGCTTGCCTCTATGGTGACTTTGGAGAGCTCTGCAGTCACAATTTCTAATGCCTTCTGCTTCCACCAAGATATGTAAGTTTTGTGATTTTTGTTTTACAGCTCTTACATTTCCAGGATTCATTTATTTTCTTCTTCTTCTTCTTCTTCTTCTTCTCCTTCTCCTTCTTCTTCTCCCTCCTCTTCCTCCTCCTCCTCCTCCTCCTCCTCCTCCTCCTCCTCCTCCTCCTCCTCCTCCTCCTCCTCCTCCTCTTCTTCTTCTTCTGCTCAAACTACAGGTGCAACTGCCAAAGGAGCTGGCATAAGAAGCAGAAGAATCATCTAGAACAGCAAGATCAGGGCTGGAGGCCATTTCACTAACAATGTGGGGGACAGAACTGGGATGGGGCTCCAACCAACTGGGGATGGTTTGTGCTGTGAGAAGGCACAGGCCCAAGAGGAAAGGGAAGGATACAGAGTATCCATGCTCACAGGCAACAAGTTCTTCTCAGAGTTTGACTGCCTTGGGTGAACTTGTAGCATTGTGGTTCTAGAAGAAGAAGAAGAAGAAGCTAATTTCTTTTGGTAAACATTCTACTTTTCTTTTCTTCTAGTGAATAACAATAAATATGCTGAAAGTGTTAACTGTCGAGTCTTCGCTCACTCCCAGTTTTTTCCTCCTCCCATCTGCTCCCCCACATCACTGCATGTCATTGAAAACGGAATAAATGGTGTGAAGTGAGTGCCTGGCAGGCCTTCTGCAGCCTTTTGGAATAAAGGACTCTTTGCTAGTTCTTGGAGAACCAGTGACAATCCCTCCTCTTACTCTGCTCGTCACTGGTCTCACTGCTGTAACAAAACACCCGACCAAAGCAAACTCAAGGAAGGAAGGATTTACTGGAGTTCATGTTTTGGGGGTGTAGTTTATCATGGAGTCCTGGGCAAGGCATGGCAGCAGGAGCCTGAGGCAGCAGGTCACATCTGTCACAGGAGGCAGAGGGAGATGGATTCAGTGGCATCCTCTCATGAAGTTCAGTCTAGGACCCCAGGTCAGGGATGCTTCCATCAACATTCGGGGTTAGTCTTCTCTCGTCAGTTCAGCCGCTGTGGAAAGCTCCCCAAGATGTGCCCACAGGTCAGTGTCCTAGGTGATTCCTAAATCCAGATAAGCTATCAGTGAAGATGAGCCAGCCTAAACTCGGCTCAGCGTCTCCTTGCTGACTCCCTGATATCTTGAAGTATTCTTCTGATACAGGTGTCTGTTAGAGGCAAAGCATGCAATTAACAGGCTGTGGGGAAAACAAAGTGTGACCAGAAAAAGTCAGGAGAAAAGCAAACCTTTCATACATACAAATACCCTGCTGTGATTCCAAATTTAGGGACAGCTACAGACAACATGCTGTTTTACAGACAGAAACGTGGGGGTGATAAATAATACAGTAATTGGCAAAGGTTTTACACACACACGCACACACATGCACACGCATGCACATGTGTGCACACTTAATTTGAGTCTCTTCAAAACCCCTCTACAGGAAGCATGTCTACAGGATTAAACACCTCATCCTCTGTTTCAGGTTACTCTGTCACCTGGCCCTGGTGAACCAATCCATTCTCTTCAAGTCTTATGTTGCTCCTGATAGAACATCCTCCTACACACCCAGTGTGTCTGTCCTCTTTGACTTTTCCATAGACAAACCCAAGACATCTCACCATCTATGAGGGTCCTGGCCAATCTGCCAACCACATGGTAGACTCTATCCCTTCTGTAGAAACATTCCCAACAGCTCCAAACCCTTTCCTTGCCTCCTTCCAAGTTTCCACAGTTCTTAGTTATGTACTATAATTAGGAGATGCACAGAACACTGTAAGAAAATGTCTAAAATACTGAACATTTTTTTAAGTAATGAGAATACAGAAATTAGGAAATCAAGGGAAATCAAGTTTTAGTGACTCTGGGGTTTTTAGTCTTTTTGTTTGTTTTGTTTTGTTTTTTTAAGACAGGGATTCTCTGTGTAGCTTTAGCTGTCCTGGAACTTGCTCTGTAGATGGGGCTGGCCTTGAACTCATGAATCTGGCTGTCTCTGCCTCCTAAGTGCTCAGATTAAAGGTATGTACTGCCACCCAGTCTTTTTTTTTTTTTTTTGTACTTCCTGTTTTCTTACCTGAGAAGGAAAGCAACACCTTCCTTTTCCTCCCTTTAACAATCACAGATGATATAAAGCAGGCAAAGTGGGCTGGGAGAGAATCTCTCTAATGCAGGGGTTCTCAACCTTCCTAATACTGAACCCCCCTATCGTCCTACCCCACAGCGGCCATCTTGGAACCAGCCTATATCTTAAAAGAAAAAAAAGCCAGGCGGTAGTGGTGCACGCCATTAATCCCAGCACTTGGGGGGGCAGAGGCAGGTGGATTTCTGAGTTCTAGGCCAGCCTGGTCTACAGAGTGAGTTCCAGGACAGCCAGGGCTATACAGAGAAACCCTGTCTCGAAAAACCAAAAAAAAAAACCTAAGAACTTGACCTACAGCTAAACCCAAGTACCAGGAAGGACCCCGTGGCTTGTCATTGGCCAGAGTTACTCTCTAGCTACTTCCTAGGAACAGTTAATCAAAGCTTAGTCTGATTGTTTTAGATGTACTTTCAGACCCTTTATGATTGTATAAGGTCTTGTTTCAGAGCACCCACCTGTTGGCTTACAATAGGCATTCAGTTAGATGCTTGCCAGGACAGACACCCCCAAGACTTACTCCCGTTTTTCTATAAAACCTTGTCCAGATGAGAGTTCAGGACTGCTTTATGTTGGAGTCGGCTCCTTGGTGGTCTTCTGGGGTTCATGAATGCTTCCTGGAACAATATCACAACTATAAAATTCGTTTTGTTGCTATTTTATAACTAATTTTGCTACTGTTATAAATTGTAATGTTAAACCTGTGTTTTGGGATGGTCTTAGGCAACCCCTGTGAAAGGGTTGTTTGACTCCCAAAGGGGTCAAGACCCACAGGTTGAGAACAAGTGCTCTAACAAACCAGAAAGAGTACATCATAGGAAGAACAAACTATGAAAAATGTGGGCTTTCTGGTTTGGTTTTTAAAGATAGAGAATACGAAAGTGTACAAGTGATTTTTAAAATAGCCATCATATAGTAGCTTTGTTATCTTCCTTAGAAATGTTATCTTTAGCTTCGTGTGTGAGAGCACGCACACAGAAAGGTCAGAGGACCTCAGTGGAATCAGTTTTCTCCTTCCCATTTATATGGATTCCAGAGATCAAATCAAAGTCAAGAGAGACATAGAGAGGAACCGATTCTCACTGTGCTTTTTGTTTATCTATAATTTTTTACTTGTTTTAAGAGGTAATATTAGGGCCAGTGAGATGACTCAACAGGTAAGCATGCTTGCTGCCAAAGGCTAACAATCTGAGTTCAGTCTCCAGAACCCACACAGTAGAAGAGAAGTGATTACTGCACATTGTATTCTGACCTCCACATGAACAAAATAACTAAATGCAAATTTTTAAAAATATGGTATTTATATACCATGTTTTTTCTGTTATTTTCTGTGATGGATGGTGTTAATTATCAACTTGACAGAATCTAAAATCACCTGGGAAACAGACCTCTGTGCATACTGGTGGAGGATTACCTGATTACATTAAAGTGGGAAGATCTGCCCACTGTGGGTGGCACCATTCTCTAGATGAAAAGCATGCACTAGCCACTTCCTGTTTCCTGACTGTGGGTATAGTTACATCCAGCGACTTTAGGCTCCTATTGCATTGACTTTCCCATGGTGATGGATTGTACCTTCCTTGAATTGTAAGCTACCTTTTGTCACTTAAGTTACTTCATGTTGCAGGAATCTTTGTGGAATAAGCACTCTGACACCAATGAGAGTAGAAGAGAGGAGATGTCACTGGTGGACTGAAGCCAAGACATTTTGTGAAACGCCTCAGTCCTGGGTCCAGTTTGTATTCTCATTTTAGACTCTAAAACAGTGACCCTGACTTTAGGAACTATTATAAGGATCACAGCATTAGTAAGGTTGAGAACCACAGCTCTGAAACCACAAGGATGGACAGGGCAAGCAAGTGAGATTTTACAGAAGTACCAGTCAGCAGGTTGGTAAGGACAATGATCCCTTGTTTCAATTGTCTCTCCAGGTCATCCTGTTTCAGGCAGCAAAATCGTGTCAGCAAATAGGCAGTACAGGCAGCAATGTAAGTAAATCACTAAATAGATCAATAAATCAGTACCTAATAATTGGTCCTTTCTACCTTATCCTGATACTTTAAGCAGAGTATTTTATCACAACACTAGGAAGGGAAACTAAGATATCATCTTTCCGGACCTAATTACTGGCTGTTGGAAATTGCAGTGAATATCTTTTTAAAATTCAAGCTATCACTTCCAACAAACTCATGACACTTGTGTCAGAATATATCACATTAAAATGGAAGGGGTTTATGAGGTAAGCACATGCCTTTAATCCCAGCACTCCCGAGGCAGAAGCAGGTGGATCTCTGTGAGTTTAAGGCCAGCCTTGTCTACAAGGTGAGTTCCAGGACAGCCAGAGCTGTTACACAGAGAAAACATCTTGAAAAACCAAACCAAACCAAACCAAACCAAACCCCAACCCAAAACTAAAACCAAACAAAAAAATAAAACACAAAAGGGTGGGGGGCATTGTCTTAGTCAGGGTTTACTGCTGTGAACAGACACCATGACCAAGGCAAGTCATATGAAGGACAATATTTAATTGGGGCTGGCTTACAGTTTCAGAGATTCAGTCCATTACCATCAAGGCGGGAACATGGCAGCATCCAGGCAGGCATGATACAGGAGGAGCTGAGAGTTCTACACCTTCATCTGAAGGCCGCTAGTGGAAGACCGACTTCCAGGAAGCTAGGATGAGGGTCTTAAAACCCACACTCACAGTGACACACCTACTCCAACAAGGCCACAACTTCTAATAGTGCCACTCTATGGGCTGAGCATGTACAAACCATCACAGGGTTTAAATGTATATAAATCCAAAGCAAGTTTAAAACATTCAGCCAAACTTTAGTTGTTTTTCTAGCTTCAAATAAATACCTATAAAGGGTTTTGTTAAGCTGCTTTCAAAATACAAGGTAGAAGTATCAAGTTATTTTTTTTTCCAGGCTATCGCCAAGTTTCTTAATATTTAATACAGACATGTATTGAATAAAGTCTCACTAAAATGCTTCTGACTTTATTCTTTCTACTTGGGTAATGTTACAGATTCTAAACCCTATCTGAAGCTCTTGGCTAAATATAAGGCTTCAGATTGGCTGAGAGGCTAAAACACAAGACATCAGAGCTGCCAAGGTAGTCATGAGTTATTTAGGATGCACAGAGGGGTTTTGGAAAAGGCCCCACCAGTTATCCTTTCAATGTTAGGAAAACCTAAATGTTTTCTATTTCACCTGTGAAATCGCTAAGCTGGCAAACACCCACTTCTTATCTATTTCTAAATGTAAGAGCCATAAAGGGGTAACTATAGTGAAATGCATATGCTCACACCATCCTAACTCCAATGCTGTTTATGTAAGTGTATGGCCGCCATGCCTGCTGTCAACAGCTTTATGAGTTACAGGAGCTGTTTATACTCCTTTGGCTTGGTCCT